TTCTAGGATCACAGTGATTCATGAAACAATTAAAGTACACACTGTCCTTGCACCTGCTGTATGTCCTGCCCCTTTGCAAGCAAGCTCTGTCCTGCTATAACCCATTCAGGGTTCAAGGGACACTTGTGAGTGGGCAGTGGCATCTCCATGTTGGAGCTGAGGTCACTGAGGCATATTTAAGAAAACTTAGAAAACCTTGCAGAGAATGAGGATGTGGAGAGGGGAGGAGAGAGAGGAGCTTCACAGCAAGGTAGATCCAGCCCTGCAGGCCCCGTTCGTATCCTGAGCCCAACCTGGAGTTGCGTAATGTCATTGGAAGTCTTTTCTTAGTCCACTCAGAACGCTATTCCTCTCCCTGGAGAAATGGAAAGAATCTGTTTAAGGGGTGCCACCCAAACGCCACTGGAGCAGTGGGTAATGTGAGGATCGTGTCCTCTGTGACCTTCCTAAGGAACCGCACGTGATGATCTGTGGCTCTTGCGGCCCCTGAATTTCCGAGAAGGGACTGGTCCCTCTCCTACATTGCCTCTGTCTGCTGACACCCACTATATGGCAATAGGATGGATATGTGTGGGTAGAGGGTCAAACCATTATAGGCAATGGGAAATTCAAAATGTCCCAGAACCCAGAAATTTTCCCTCACTTAGTGTTTGGTCTGTAGCCTCCCAGCCCCCTTTCTCGTGGTTCTTTCTCAAAGCCTCGCAGCTCTAATTCTTGGCCTGTTCTTACAACCCTGTGCGGAGGGGGGGCGGGGGAACAGCTCTGCCTCTCCTGCGCCTTGAGGGCTCTCTAGAACTTTCCCTCTAGGCACAGGAAGGAGAATAATAATAACCGAATAATCGGGATGTTCTTGTTAGACAATCCAAAGCCCTCTGGGCTGCAGCACAGGTTTTTCCTTCAGGGACACCCCAGCCTGGGCCCCTGCCCTGTCAACGTCCCCAGGCACAGACAGAAAAGGTGACATCGCCTGCATTCAGGCACAGACAGGAAAGGTGACCTTGCCTGCATTCACATGAGGTCTGTCTGTGTGGCGTGGGTCACTGGGTGGCTTTACGGACAGCAGAGACATCGGGGATGGGTGTTCTGGGCGTGCTTAACAAAGGGAAAACTCAGGTTGTTCCTACTGAAGCCGCTTCTCCTTTCAGCTCCCACCAAGAAGGCCTGTCCCCAAGGGACTTGGAGTGGAGACTTGAGCCATCACCTCTCAGAGGTGCAGGCTTCACAGGCAGAGCTGGAGCCAAGCACCCTGGTGCTCAAATGTCTGCGACTACAGCTGGATCAAGGGAATGGCTTGGCCAGGCAGGGCCGTTCCTCTACCACTTGCAGCTTCGCAGCCAATGCTGATTCTGGGAACCAATGGCCCTTCCAAGGTAGGGAAGGAAACGGCGTCATGAAGATCTAATCCAGGTGTTGGTGGTCACGGTGCTGTGGGTGCAGGAGAGAATGGGACCACTCTGTGCTACCTCAGGGTCAAGATGAAATTCATGATGCTCCAACACAGTGAGATGAGCAAAGGTTCTGGGTTTGCCACTTTCTGCTTGTTGACTTTAGCCTAGGATTTTGTCTTTTTGCTATTTACATCTCTGTTCCCTCATCTGAGATAGCTGAAAAATAATATCTACCTGCAATCTTTGTTGGGAATATTAATTATTATAATTTCCAAAGGGCCTGATTCCATAAGAATTGCCCCACAAACCTATGAATAGGTGTTATCTAATCCTTTTATCTTTCTGCTCAATTTGCACTTAGAAAGTGACTTCACGGATGATGTCTCCTCTGAGATAGAGCAGTTATGAAGATCTCTGCTTTCTAGGGCCCCTCTTCCTTTCCTTTCTCACACAGACTCTTCTGCCAGTTTTCTTCCTGTCCTTCCCCATCCCTCATGAAGCCAATTTTCCCCTATCAGGCACTTTCAGTAACAACCTATGAGGCACATTGAGTAACAGTGTAAATCCTGGGCCCACACTCAGTCTCCTGACATGTCCAGTTTCCTCTGCTTTTTTTCCTGCTTTTTTTGAAATAAAAGGGCAACTTTCACATGGAAAGTGTTCACATTAGTGTCTTTTATGAAATTCCATTTAGTTCAAATTCTCCACTCATGTCCACGGCCATGTCCTCAGTTTCTGTCTCACAGGGTTAAACTTCTGCTAAGATTTCCTTAAAACCCTGGGTCGAGTTCATTCTCACTCTCCGTCCCACTCAGTATCTCCTCCTGGAGCCCCTGGGGCTGCCTGGTGCTCATCTGTCAGGCAATGCCCTCAGCTGAGGAATGAGGGGACCCCGGTCCTACAGAGGAGGGAGGGTTGGGTGAGATAACGAGCACCATCTGGGTCGGAGGAAAGGACACATGGAAGGCGCTCAGGGAGTGTCAGGGGATGCACAGTCCCTGACACGTCCCGGGATGACTTATTTAAACTGATTTCTTCCCACTGGACTCTCCTTTGCTTCTCTATGGATTCTCACACCCCCAGCCAAGACTCACCCCACTGGCTCAGACACACTCCCTCTTGCTCACTTTCCCTGGAGTCCAGAGCCTGAACCAGGCACCAGGTAAGAGGACAGAGTGAATGCTTTTTGTTTCATTAATATTTTCCTTCACCTGGTGATTTCTCCCTGCTGTCTACCAGGTCATTTGTTTCTCCACACCTTTTCTTTCT